GCCCCTGGACGCCCAAGATGGCTCCCATAGAGCCCAAAAGGCCGCTACGACGCCACAAGTTGCTTTCCAAGGGGGCCCCAAGCGGCCAACATCATTGATTTCGCATAGGAAAACATGGTTTTAGCATCTACGTCTTTTCGGTCTTCACGGCGTGCACGAGGGTACAAGAGGCCCCCACGACGGCCCCAAGACGGCCCAAGAGGCTCCCAACGCGGCCCAAGAGGAGCCCAAGACAACCCCAGAGGCGACCAAGGCGTGCTCAAGAGGCGGCCAAGACGTGTCCACGGAGCCCCAAGAGGCTCCCAAATCGGTCGAAGACGGCCCCAGGGCTCTCAAAGATCGCCCCTGGGCGCCCAAAATGGCTCCCATAGAGCCCAAGAGGCCGCTACGACGCCCCAAGTTGCTTTTCCAAGAGAGCCCCAAGCGGTCAACATCATTGATTTCGCTGAGGAAAACATGCGTTTTTAGCATCTACGTCTTTTCGGTTCTCACGGCGTGCACGATGGTACAAGAGGCCCCAAAGACGGCCCCAAGAGGCCACCAACACGGCCCAAGACAGCCCGAGGGGCGGCCAAGGCGTGGCCAGAGGGCCCCATGAGGCCCCCAAAAAGTTCCATGGCGGCCCCGAAGCGCTCAAAGCTAGCCTTGGACGCCCAAGACGGTTCTCACAGTGCCCAAGAGACCGCGAAGACGCCCCAAGAGGCCCCCAAGAGGCTCACAGGAGGGCCCCAAGAGGCCCCCACTCCAAGAGGGCCCCAAGAGGCCACAATCATTGATTTTGCATCGGAAAACGTACATTTTAGCATCTACGTCTTTTCGGTCTTCACAGCGGTGACGACGGTACAAGAGGCCCCCAAGAGAGTCCCAAAACGGCCCAAGAGGCTCCAAAGATGCCCCGAGAAGGGGGCCAAGAGACCCCAAGAGGTCCCTAATACGACCTAGGGGAGCTCCAAGACGGCACCAAGAGGAGCCCAAGAGGGGGAGCCTGAACCGAAAATCCGACCCTTCCGCCTAGGAGGCCGACAGGCCCCCAAGAGATCCCTCCAATAGGCCTAACTCAGCGTGGGCTTATGGAAGGGTGAGATTCTGACACGCCAAGAGACCCACAAGGGGTCGGCGGGCTCAGGTCAGCTCGGCGCAGATGTGAGCGGCCTGAGTCGTTGCATCTCGCGGTGAACGTCGGTGCCGGAAGCGCATCCCAAATCCGGGATCCTCCTCCTCCCTCCCTCCGTCCCTTCTATTTCTTCCTCCCCCACTCCCCCTCCCTCCTCCTCCTCCACTCCCCTTTCTCTCTCCCCTCCTTCCCTTCCTCCCCTCCCGTTCCACCTCCCTCCCTCTTTCCCCTCCCTCCCCCCCCTCCCTCCCGCCCGCCCCTCCCTTCCCACTCCGCTCCCTTCCTCCCTCCTTCTTTCCGCGTCGGAACCAGTTCGGAACCACTTCGGAACCACATTGGAACCACTTTTGAACCATCCTTGAACCAGTTTCGAACCACTCGTGGTCACGACTGCTGGAGTACACCGCCTCTGAGTGACACCACTAACACAATGGAGGCGCAGCGTAACCAGGTTGCGACCGCTTTGGAACAAATCTGGAACCACTTTGGGACAGCATGTGCACCTCCTTTGGGGAACTTTCGAACGATGCGCCGCGCTGCGGTGTCGCGCAACGCGCGCGCGGGCGCGCCGCTGCAAAGGTCGGCGCCACTTTGGCGCCGCTGTGGATCCACATTGGAGCCACATTGCGACCATTCCTGAACCACGCCTGGACCACTTTTGGCGTACGGTCGGCTGTTTACTAAACGCAAGCCGTGAATGCGCGCCGCGATTCCAACGCCCACGCCACAGCCAAGCAACGCGGGAACCACTTCGGTGCCACTTTGGAACTACGTTGGGGCCACTTTTGAACCGCGCGCGAGCCGCATTTGCGCCGCCCCCTCCACACGCCACGCCCGATCCACTTCAGCGCGGCGTCGGAACCACTTCGGGGCAGCGTCGAAAACAATTCTGGTCCACTTTTGGTCATTCTTGGGTGGTTGCTGCGCCATCGCCATGCCATCGCGCGCAACGGGGATCCTGGTTTAGCGGAGTTGGCTTGCGAGTCGCTACCCCAAGCCGCCAGTGGACATGCCTTGGGCGTCGTCGGAACCACATCGGAACCAATCTTGAACCACTTCAGGACCACATTCGGGCCACTTTTGAACCACCCTTGAATCGCGTTGGAACACCGCGTGGCCATGGTTGCTTAAACACACGGCCTCTGACTGCCACTAGGTAGGCACTGGCGACGCAATGGGGCCGATTTGCGACGCGTTGGGGCTATTCTGGAACCGCGGTGGGACCGCAAGTCCACCACTGTTGCCCAGCGTTCGAAAAAAGACGCGCCGCGTTGCGCTGTCGTGAACAACGCGCGCGCACGCAATAGCTAGCGACGGGATCACGCAGGCACCAACCCTGGCCCACTTTGGAAGCGTTTGGGGCCACTCCCCGAACCAAGTTTGGTCACTCCTGGCGCAAGGCCGACCAATTGTTGAAAACGACCCGTGACTGTACGACGCGCTGCCAAGCCCGCGCCAATGTCAAGCCGCGCGCGCCACTCCTGTGCCACGTTGGAACATATGTGGGGCCACTTTTGAACCGCGCGCGAAACGCTCCCGAGCCACCCCTCTACGCGCCGCGCCCGAACCACTTCGGCATCATGTCGGGGCCACGTCGGAACGGCGGTGGAGCCACTCCTGAGCCAACCATGGGCCATTCTTGGGCCATGACTAAAAATGCAGGCATGCCATTGGGCGCGCAATGTAAGCTCAAGTTAATTCTGGCTGGCCTGCGAACCGCTGCCCCGAGCCACACTTGGAACTCCTTGGGGCCACGTCGTAACCACTTCGGAACCATGTGGAGCAATGTCGGAACCACTTCGGAGACCCCCCTGCGCCACCTTTGCGCCACGTTCGGTGCTTTGTGGCTGCGCCAGCTCAAGCAGGCCGCCGCTGAACCAACTTCCGTGCCGTCGGGGGGCGCAGCGGCGCCAGCTTGCAACCACTTCGGGGTCGCGCTGGGGTGCGTCCGGGCCGCTGGTGAACCACTGTCGCGCAACAATCGAACAGCGCGCGCGCGGCATTCCCACGCGAAACACCAGCGGGCGCGCCCTCGCCACATCCATCACTTCGGAACCCTCTCCAAAATCACTGTGGGCCATCTATTGATGAATGGCAGACGGACGAGCCACTTTCGAGCAAGTCTTGGACAAGTGTGAACGAATTGCCTAGAGCGCCGATTGGCTGGCTGACGCGCTTCCACCCGCGCGCGAATGCTGCAAACCGCGTCCGAACCACGTTCGGGACGCATCGGGGCCACCTTGGAAACACGTTTGCGCCGCGCGGGAACCACTGCGAAACCGTGTCCACCACGCAGCACTTCGGAACTCCTGTGACAGCGCCACCCTGGGGCCACGGCGTGGTCATGGATAAATTGTGTGCGGGCCACTCTGCAACAGTTCTTCAACCATTATGCTGCGGCGCCTCAGTCCCTCCTGTTTTAAGTCTGCCGTGCGCGCCCTCCCCCGCAAATATTGGAACTCGCGCCCGAAACACTTGTGAATTCCTGCGCGAGCGCTCTGTCTGTCTATTAGACAACTGCCGAAACCATATCGCATCGAGTTGTTGGAAAACCACCGGCCTTGACCGCGCGATGAACGACGCCGGCCAGCGCGCCGCATACTTCAGCGAGATCCCCGACAAATCCTCCGCTGTTGGGTGGGAGCTCTACCCATTGCGGAAATTCGCGCGTGCAGCAGAAGGCAGCACTTGTGCACTGCTGGCAATGTCATGCGTCGCGCTGGCGTCCCGCGCATCATTTGCTCATGGTAATTCATGCACTCTGACATCTGTAGTATAGCTTACCCGCCACCAATTGAACACGACATATTCATTGCGTTCAAATACATGCATAATAGTCGCAGACAGTGTGGTCTAGACCAGATAGGACTAGTGCCATCGAGTTTGATGTAGTCGGCATCGGCTATGTAGCTTGCAGGCGTTTCCAGAGACATCACTTCAATGCAGAAACACTTCGGGGCGATACTTCCATTGCGTTGCATTGCATTCAACGGTCCCTTGCCCCAGGCAAGCCAGCAACGACAGACCCTTGGCGGGTCGACTATCTCCCATCAGCCGCGCTTGCACCGTCCATCTCATTCGAATGACGTTCCCGATGGAGGTCCATTACTTCAGATTTTGCCCATCCGCTCGCGCCGCGCACGATCGACAGTCTTTCGGAGATGGCTCTGCTCAGATTTACTCTTGGCGGTGGCCGCCCTCCGGCGCTCAGCACTCCGAGCAATCCCTGGTTGAATAACCGTTTGAGCTTGAGCCTTGGCGGGGACAACAGTGCAGCGGCGATGCGCCCTGCTGCCCCCCCCCGCGCTACCGCTCCCCTATGCAGCACCGCGCTCTCAGACTCCTCCACCTTGTCTTTTCTTTTCCGCTTGCCCCGACCCGTTTCCCCCGCCCAGCTCTTCCTCGTCGTTCCATTGTGGCTCGAAGCGGTCAGAGAGCAGCGCTGCCTTTCATCGAGCGCCATACGTGGGCGCAGTAGTTTGCAGAGAGAGAGAGAGAGAGAGAGAGAGAGAGAGAGAGAGAGAGATAACACAAAAAAACCTCTCCGTGGTGGGCGAGGCCCGAGATGGAGCCACTCGACGCCGACATGGAGATGGACTCCGCGTCCGCCTGCGGCACTCCGGTTTCGGCTTCCAAGGCTCGCAAGGCCAAGGAGGGCGCTCGCATCGTGTGTCATTTGTGCGTGACGCCGTCCCCTTAATACAAAACGGCGTGGGGCTTCGACTGGCGCCAGGAGTGCTGTGCCAAAGTCAGGATCCACCATAGACAGATCAGGGGCGGCGCAGATGGCAGGGCGAAGCTCCAGGATGACAAGACGATGATGCACCAATGCCCTGAGCAGTGGTGAGCTCAACCTATTTTCCAAGGCGGCCAGGTTGCCCTGCAGGCGAAGGCGATGGGCAGGATGAACAACAAGTTCGAAGAGACGGCGAAGCTCAACCAAGAGGTTGTCATTCAGGACGAGGTTGCCTACGCCAAGTCGCAGTTCCAAATTCACCGAAAGGAAGAGGATCCATACGATGACTTGGAGGCAGTCGATCTGGAGGACGAGTTCGACGAGCTGTTCCAGGCGCAGGAGAAGGACGGGAACTACCACGTGTATGAAAAGTCGATGAACAGTGTGGTGCGGTTGTTGGACAAGCCCCGCAAACGGAGCTTGAATGGCAAACAGAGCCCTGAAGGAACGAGGAGAGGTGACGGGCCATCCGCCGCCGCGTCGTCGCGCGGAACGGCGCATGGGAGCGCCCGAGGCTTATTGTCAGTGCCGACTACGGTGGGGGGGGGGGGGGCATCCGACGGCGAGACCCTCGAGAAGCGCAAGAAGATTTCTGGCAAGACGCCCCCGCGTCCGAGTGGCCCACTTGATGGAGACAAGGGCGGTGGCTTGACAGATGGCGCGAAGTTCCTGCAGGCGCACAGCGAGCTCATCAGCAACGTCCGCAAGCTAGGCGAGGAGCTGACGGGCAAGAGGGGCATGAAGGTTGCGCTGAAGGCCCTCTCGGACGACGTGAGCAAGAAAGGCACCGACCTGAACTTGCTCCCGTATGCTTCAGACAAGATCATGCAATCTATTGATGAAGTGAATGGCCATGTGCAGGCGCTGCTGAAGAAGGTCTCCAACATCCAGAAGCACGAGGTGGCGGAGTCGGAGAAGTCGCTGGGCGACCTGACAAATTCGACCATCATCATCATCATCATCATCAAAGACAAGCACGTTGACCTCAAGAGTGCAGGCGGCCATCTCATCGCCGAAGCTCGCAACAATGAGCGCTCGAACCGCCAGAAGGACGACTGGGTTCAAACGAAGGTGAATGCGGCGCTGACCAAGAACGGCTTCGGCAAGCACCACGCCAGCCGGCTCAGCAAGATCCCTTTCAATTTCGAGACGGCGGACCTAACGAAGATCCACGTGCATCCAAATGCACCCGAGGACACGGCCCACGGCATCAACATCAACAACGATGAGGACACACGGGACTTCAACCACGTTTCGGCATGGGCTGCTGGCAACGCCCAGGCCAACAATTTCAATAATATCTTGCACGAGGACGCGCGAGTGCAGGCCAAGCTCACCACCATGACGCCTGCCCTGTCTAAGAATACCACGCGGGCGGGCGCCATGTGTGTGGTGGAGGGCGCCCACTTCGCCGCCGCCGACGCCGACCTCGACCCCGACGTCTTGGACGGCGACGGGAGCGAGCCGTGGATGCTTGCTTGTCGTGCGCACTGCTGCAGGTACGGGCCGAAAGCATACCCTCTCCCAGGTGCCGCATCGTTGCTGGTGGTGCTGGAGGGCCCAATCTGCGTTCAACGGACGGCGATCTCCAATATCACAGAGCACGGGGTCACGATGAGCGTTTGCCCGTCCTTTCTGGAGACGCCTGAGGGTCAGAAGTGCCAGGGCTCATCCATCGTGGCGGTGCGCGTGATGGACAACGTTGCCAGATTCGCCCCCCGCGGGCTCGCCGTGCACATGGTCCACGCCCCGACGGATGCGGCAGATGACGACGACGCCAACCCACCGCCGAAGAAGAGGGGGAAGTCGGCGGCGCCGAAGATGACCGATCAGTCGAAGGTCGCATTCCTGCTCAGCATCCCGCTCCTGCGTGCTGCTGACATCAACGGTGTGGGCGGGAAAGTGCGACAGGTTGTCTCAGCCTGGAATGAGACGCGCTTCAAAACTAAGGGCGAGGATGCGATGTGGGCCAACCGTGCAAGGTGGTTCCGTGCTCACTACAAGTAAACTCGTGGCTGGACGGCCGCCCAGAAGCCTCCGCCACGGGCAGCAGAGGCAACGTCGTCAATACGTCGGCGCTCCGAAAGATTATTCCGAATTGAGAGGCATGGCGCCGCGCGAATGCAGCGCAAACGCTATGCTGGAAGGGCGCGACAATGCATGCCCCCTGGACAGGCGAGAGCAGCCGCGCCCCCGCTCGAGCCCCGATCCCGCGCGGGGCGCGTTCCCGCTGACAATGGCTCACCCGGGAAACCGTTTCTTGCGCAGGAAATCCTGGGCGGTCTGCCCATCGGCGGCTCCTTCGGACGAGGCCCCGAACCACCGAAAAACCGTTTTTTTCTGGATAGGAAGTTCTAAACGGTTTGCCCATGCTCGGTTTCTTCGGAGTGGGCCCGAAGACCTCGAGAACGATGTTTTTCGAAGGAGTCCTAGGCGGTTTGCACATTTTCGGGTCGTTCGGGCCGGGCCCGATTTTTTTTTGGGGCACAAGTCCGATGGGATTTGGCCACTTGCAGGTCGGCCGATCAACTTTTCGGGTCGGCGTATGACCGAACCCGAAAGCTTCTTTCGAGGAGCTCTTATGCCGTTTGCTCATATTCGGGTCAGTACACCGTTTGGGATTTAGAATTTTAAACTGGGAAGGGGAACCCGATCCCGCGACCCCGGGCGGGGGTTGGGCTCTGCCCTTGCCTTGTACTGGCCCCTCCGGCCAAACGGGGCGCTGGGCTGACCATCGGCGCGCCCACTCTGCCCTCGCGACATCGCCCCCGTCCGCCCTCGGGCCCCGCGAGTCTTGTCCTGCGCGCGCCACCCCAGATGGCCGCGGCCGGCGCGGCGGCGAAATTGGGGAAACTTTCAGGTCGGCGCAGTACCAGCATCGGAGCAAGTGTCATCAGCATCACCATCACTATCTTCGCCGACGATGGTTGCCACGATGACGGCGTCGATGCCATCGTCGTGACAACCGCCGTCATCGTTGTGGCCGTCGCCGCCACTGCCACCGTCGGCAATAGTGCTCCCGCCGCCGACCTTCTCACCGATTGACGGTGGGTAGTTCTCGCCATCTCTTTTAATGGGCCTCATCCTCCCGCCTCCTCCCTCCTCCACCTCCCGTTCCTCCCCCTCCCCTCTCTTGATGGGGTGGGTCTAGGTTTCGACTTCGATCGGACTCAGCGTAGGGCTCAGAGTCGGGGTCGGGGCCAATTTGGATTCTAAGACGCCCCGGCGAGGAGACAGGAAAGGGCGCGCGGCGCGCGCGGGGAGGGAAGAATATGGAAGACGGGAGGAACAGGGGCAGTGGGGCGGGGGGGGGGGGGGGGCGGGAGGTTCAGGAGGGGGCGGAAGGGCAAGAGGAGAAGGAGGGATGGGGAGGAGGACGACGACGAGGAGTAGAGGGGCGGAGTAGTGGAGTAGAGGGGCGGGGTGAGACAGGGATGGAAAGGCGATGACAGCAACGACGAGTGGGGGAGCGGGGAGGGGCCCTGGGCGGGGGGAGAGCGCGCGGCCCGCCCCCCCTGCCCGTCGGCGGCCGCCCGTGGCTTCGCGGCGGGGGCGGGGCGCGGCGCCGCCCGCTGCCGAGGAGGGAGGGGGGGGGGGGGGGGCAACGAGGACGAGGAGGGCTGGGGGTGCGCTTAAAACAACGACCCCGAGACAATGCAACCCCCCCCCCCCTCCTGGTGTCTCTCCTCCTCCTCCGTGTCCTCGTCTTCCGTTTCAGTATTCCCGTTCTCTCCCATCCACCGTTATTATTCCTCGTCATCCCTCCTCCTTGTTCGTCCTCCGTGCCCCGTCCTCGTCGCCCCCACTAGGCTCCGCGCGCTCCGCCTTGTATATCCTCCTTGCGTTCTCTCCTTTCCCCTCCCCCATCCCCCTCGTCCTCTCGGTTTCTCCGCCGCCCTCGATGCTGCGCGCGCAGGCCCAAACGTAGATCGGCGCGCTCAACATGCAGCCAAACAACTCAGACGTGCATGACTCACGATCGGCACGCGCGCACAACTGAGCCAGGTAAGACACGCCATGGGTTCACCCATACAACGCAACACTTACGACACCCATTGCTAGCACAACCAGACAACAAGTCCAGGTAGGGCCATGCATAGATTCAGCCACGCACCACCGCGACCAATGGTACGTGTACAGTCATGCAGGGAACGCGCTGTGTAATCTAGTGGGCGTCGTGCAGTCTGCGCGCGTCCTGCGCCTGCGTCGCGCGGCATCGCGTGCGGGGCGCGACGGTTGCTGACGTGTGAATCTGTTGCGCGTCTCTTCATTCGCATGGATGTTGGCGATCTATGTTGCAGGCGACAGGGTGTGTTGTCGGTTTTCCCCCCCAGCGCTGCTCTGGCATGGGCTCCTGCTCTAAACCATTGAATTGCGATGGGGCTACTGCAGCCCAAGGTCATACCGCCGTCGAGATCTGGATGTGACCACTGGCATCCTGTGCTCTCGGCGCCCTGGGGGCGCCCTACTCCGCAGGTCGTCTTGCAGGCCCTCTCTGGCGTGATTGGGGCTCATGCATCAGCTCCGATCCTCTAAGTCCTTTCGGAAGGCCCGCGTTGTCCTGGGCGATGCCATGGCGACCATTTTGGCTCTTTCGAAGGGGAGGTCCTCGGCCCCGGCGTTGCTGGCAGTATGTCGGCAGGTCGCCTGCCTGCTGCCGGCCTCGGGCTCTGCGGCCCGCTGGCGCCGGCTGCCGTCCGAGTGCAACTCGGCGGGCCATGCATCGCGCGGCCGCCCTGGCGCGCGGCCTCAGGTTCTGGCACGCCCCCGCGGTCCTCGACCCCGAGGGCGTCCTCAGCTGGCCGGGCGGAGGCGGCGCGCAGGCGCCCAGCGGCGGCGGCTACGTCTGCCCGCGCGCGGGGCCGCTCGGTGGCGAGCAGCCCGATGAGCCGCCGGGGACCGCTGGCCGAGCTGGGCTGGGGCGATCCGGCGACTCGCCGCCTCGCCCGCCGCCGGGCCCCCCCCCCTCCCGCTGCTGCGACGTCGGCGGCCGGCGGGGGCCTGGCCCTCCTGGAGACGGAGGCCGTGGGTGTGGGGACCTGGCGCGAGTACCTTGCTCGGCGTCACGAGGTTCGAATCCTGGGCAAACTCAGCGCAGGTTCCGCTGGGGGCCGCATGCGAGACCGACGAGGCCTTCGTGGCATTCTTCAGCGAGCCGTTCCTGGGCGGCCAGCCGAGCGAGGGCGTCAAGTACATGGCCGCCGTGGTGCACTTCAGGCCGTCCCTGGGCAGGCTGCAGGCTGCGCTGCCGCGGGCTGCCCGCGCTGCGAAGGGATGGGCCAAGCTGGTGCCGCCTCGGTCGAGACTGCCTCTCCCCTGGCCGATCGCCTGCCTGATGATCGACTGGGCGCTGACAGCCCTGGAGACGATGGCCGCGGCGGCGGCGGCGATCTGCTCTGCGCTGCACCTCCGCCTGGCGGAGCTGCCGGGCCCGCGGCGCGAGCGGGCGGTCCCTCCTGCCGAGGGTGCGCCACCGAGCCGGGCAGCACTTCGGAACTCCTGTGACAGCGCCACCCTGGGGCCACGGCGTGGTCATGGATAAATTGTGTGCGGGCCACTCTGCAACAGTTCTTCAACCATTATGCTGCGGCGCCTCAGCCCCTCCTGTTTTAAGTCTGCCGTGCGCGCCCTCCCCCGCAAACATTGGAACTCGCGCCCGAAACACTTGTGAATTCCTGCGCGAGCGCTCTGTCTGTCTATTAGACAACTGCCGAAACCATATCGCATCGAGTTGTTGGAAAACCACCGGCCTTGACCGCGCGATGAACGACGCCGGCCAGCGCGCCGCATACTTCAGCGAGATCCCCGACAACTCCTCCGCTGTTGGGTGGGAGCTCTACCCATTGCGGAAATTCGCGCGTGCAGCAGAAGGCAGCACTTGTGCACTGCTGGCAATGTCATGCGTCGCGCTGGCGTCCCGCGCATCATTTGCTCATGGTAATTCATGCACTCTGACATCTGTAGTATAGCTTACCCGCCACCAATTGAACACGACATATTCATTGTGTTCAAATACATGCATAATAGTCGCAGACAGTGTGGTCTAGACCAGATAGGACTAGTGCCATCGAGTTTGATGTAGTCGGCATCGGCTATGTAGCTTGCAGGCGTTTCCAGAGACATCACTTCAATGCAGAAACACTTCGGGGCGATACTTCCATTGCGTTGCATTGCATTCAACGGTCCCTTGCCCCAGGCAAGCCAGCAACGACAGACCCTTGGCGGGTCGACTATCTCCCATCAGCCGCGCTTGCACCGTCCATCTCATTCGAATGACGTTCCCGATGGAGGTCCATTACTTCAGATTTTGCCCATCCGCTCGCGCCGCGCACGATCGACAGTCTTTCGGAGATGGCTCTGCTCAGATTTACTCTTGGCGGTGGCCGCCCTCCGGCGCTCAGCACTCCGAGCAATCCTTGGTTGAATAACCGTTTGAGCTTGAGCCTTGGCGGGGACAACAGTACAGCGGCGATGCGCCCTGCTGCCCCCCCCCGCGCTACCGCTCCCCTGTGCGGCACCGCGCTCTCAGACTCCTCCACCTTGTCTTTTCTTTTCCGCTTGCCCCGACCCGTTTCCCCCGCCCAGCTCTTCCTCGTCGTTCCATTGTGGCTCGAAGCGGTCAGAGAGCAGCGCTGCCTTTCATCGAGCGCCATACGTGGGCGCAGTAGTTTGCAGAGAGAGAGAGAGAGAGAGATAACACAAAAAAACCTCTCCGTGGTGGGCGAGGCCCGAGATGGAGCCACTCGACGCCGACATGGAGATGGACTCCGCGTCCGCCTGTGGCACTCCGGTTTCGGCTTCCAAGGCTCGCAAGGCCAAGGAGGGCGTTCGCATCGTGTGTCATTTGTGCGTGACGCCGTCCCCTTAATACAAAACGGCGTGGGGCTTCGACTGGCGCCAGGAGTGCTGTGCCAAAGTCAGGATCCACCATAGACAGATCAGGGGCGGCGCAGATGGCAGGGCGAAGTTCCAGGATGACAAGACGATGATGCACCAATGCCCTGAGC